GTCCAGTCCTGGGACTCCTTCCTGTCCTGGGGCTGCGGCCCCCTCTCTGGGCCTCTATCCCTGTCTGGAAGATGGAAATGACACCAGGGCCTTACGGGGACCCTGAGTGGGAGGGTCTGCCCCTAAAATGATGGGTACATCCTGCCCCTGCCTTCCAGAGGACTGGGGCAAGGAGAACGAGGCTCTAGTCTTAGGTGCGAAATTTAAGGGGTGCCCAAAGCCTCAGTCATCGAGATAAATACATTTTAACAAAACACTAAACATAAAAATCAACGCTAATAAATCCACAATGGACAAAATGCCAACTCTTTATATACAGCCAGCGTCTGCCCAGGCCCCCACTCTCCACCAACCCTCCCTTCGTCCACATCTTTCCCCCATGGCGCATGGGCTCCTTACCTGTCCTTCAGGCTCTGAGGGCTGCTTCCCACCAGGTCTTGGGGGCCTGGGCCCTGCTCCGAAGCACTGCTGGCAGGGGCAGCAGCCATGGGTGCCCACGGCAGGCCCAGCAGCCTCAGGGGCCAGCACTGCTTGGGGCCAGGGCTCTGCTCCCTGGAGTCCTCATGGCCCACTTGGCAGGTCCTGGGCCTCATCTGCCTTCAGGGTCAAGGGCACCTCCGGCCTGATCCTCAGCGTGAGCTCCCAAGGGTCCTGCAGGGCTTGATCGATCCCCCTCACTCCAGGAGTAACGTCAAGCTCATGAATGTTGAAACCATCCAGACCTAGGTCACCTCTGGGCCTCAGTTTCCACATTTGTGAAATGGGTGCTGTTGGCAGGTGCCCCTGGTCCTCACTGGCAGTGGCCATCCCCGTGTGCCCTGGCCCGAATGGCCCCATCTTCTGCCTGGGCCTTCTCCGGTGCCAGCCCCCGTGCGGGTCCTCTCCGGGGTGGTTACCCCGGGGATCCTCTTAGAGTGGCATCTGCCAACTGCTCTGCTGTGGTTGGAATCAGAGCTCAACCATCTCCCACAGTCACCCCTGCTGGCCCCGCCCCTGGGGTGCTGGGTGGGCACACCTGCTCCTGCCCCCTTTCCCCGCTTCCCCAAGGGCCTCTCTGGGCTACGGAGCATCTACCTCGGGCCTGGAGGGCAGCCAAGCGCCCAGTGGATGAGGAATTGAATTCCTTGCGGTGGGCCTGGGGCTGCTCTTCTGACCCGGCCCCCAGGCTGGGCCCCGGCACACTCCACGCCTGCCAGTCAAGCCCGGCCCTTCCTTGGCTGGTGTGGTCAAGCCTGGTAAGTTTGGTCAGCTCCTGGGCTAGGCCAGGGCCCGGCAGGGAGTCATCCATCCCCCTCTCTCCAGGAGGAGCGTCAAGCTCAGGGATGTTGGAACCACCCAGACCCAGGTCACCTCCGGCCTCAGTTTCCTTGTCTGTGAAGTGGGGAGAGCTCCTCTGCAGCAGGAGGGCCTGAGGGTGAATGGGATCATGCATCTGCTAAGCGCCAGCACAGAGCCGGCGTTGAACCAATGCCGGTTCCCCGTCCACCTCTTACTTTGGGCTTCAGAGCAGCTCTGCAGTGATGGCGAACCTTTTGAGCTCGGCGTGCCAGCATTTTGAAAAACCCTAACTTAACTCTGGTGCCGTGTCACATATAGAATTTTTTTGATATTTGCAACCATAGTAAAACAAAGATTTATATTTTTGATATTTATTTTATATATTTAAATGCCATTTAACAAAGAAAAATCAACCAAAAAAATGAGTTCATAGCTTCGCCATCACTGTCCTAGTGTGTCCTTGAGCCAAGTGTCCCTGTTCTACGGGGGAGAAAACGAAGGCCCAAGAAGGCGAATGCAGGACCCAAGGCGGCTCCAGGGTGCAGGGTGAGCTGGAACCTAGCAGTGACCTTGTCCCTGCACTTCCAGCCCTCACCACCCGGAAGGCTTGTGCTCTGCTCTCTGGGGAGCCCAGGTGTGGGCTGTGCTGGGCAGGGTGCAGGCGGGATGGGCTGCCCAGGTGCTTGGGGTCGGGGCTTGTTTGCAAGCCCAGGAACATAACACATAATGTGACGATGAGAGTGACGCTGCTTGTGTAGCCCCGACAACGGGGTCTGCTCCCTGCTGAGCTCAGGTGACCTCCCCTTTTGAAGATGAGGACATTGCTGTTCAAGCAGCTTCCTACTTCCTGGGCGCCACGCAGCCAAGAGGCCTGGCCCTCGCACGGCTCCAGGGTGTGCTTTGTGGGTCTCCGCAGGCTCACACTGCTGGTGTCTGGGAGAACTCGGGTGGTAGGTTCCTGCCTGTCACACCCAGCACCCACCCGCTTGCTTTCCAGTTACCTTTGAGCCACAGGATCCTTCATACGTCTGCTCAACTCCGGAGCTGCAGCCCCTAGGGCTCCTGGTTTTCTGCTTCAGCAACTCCAAAGGGGGCCCCAGCCCCCACCAACCTTTACTTTCCTGGGAGGTCCCTTTACTAGTTGCCTGGCCCATGTTTTGAGTCAGGTACTCATGAACTCTCCTGCTTCCCTTGGTGAAAATCAATCCAGATATTTCCATGGGAAGCAGTAACACATTGCCTGGGACTTCAGTTTCTTGGTGTGGACAACGGTTGCTGGGAGACCACTGTCTGAAGGTCCCTTCGTATCTGCACGTCTCGTGAGCAAAGGCACCAATTGCCCTTGTGTTGGACCATCTTTTCCAGGATGCTTGTAGAGAGGGTGTGTCCCTCTGGAGCAACATGTGCTTACCGGCCGGTATGAAAGATTTGGGGTCCCCAAGCTTGGGTGTGCAGCTGTCACCTGGCCCTTTTTACAGCATCTTGGGGGTGCTCAGAGGACTGATGTAGGACACTGATATTCCAGCTGATATGCTTAATGCTGCTGATACTCTGGCTACTTGAGTAATGAACTATGAACAACAGAGTGGCCTTTGTCTCTGACCCAGGAGCCTCGTGTCTCCTGCCAGCACCCGGGAATCTATGGCAGGCTTGCTTCTCAGCCTGCAAGTAGAGTCAAAACTCTCAGACTTTCTCCTGCTCCTGACAAGGGCAATAATGAGCAGGAAGGAAGAAGTCAAGCTGATGCTGATCAGGACTTAACGGTTTGACCAAACTCATCAGAGCAGCTTTCAAGGAACCCCGGGCTGGATCTTCCCACTTCCCGAACACAGCTCAGGCAGCGTCTGGGGGATGAGGTCCAGAGCTGAGGGCTGGACCGCACAACACCCGCTCCCCTGGCCTTGGAGATGGTCAAGGCACCGAACAGTGACAGGGTGTGGGTGCCTGGGGGGCCCCTGGTCCAGTGCAGCTTCTCCCCATTTTGGTGCTTGGCTCACTTCAGCCTCTGACCTCGGGCTCCTGGTACCTTGGGGACCAGGGGTTCCACTGGAATTGTTCCCTTCCCATCACCCACTGCTCAGAGCCCAGAAGGTGTGCTTGACCCGGGGACAGCCCCGGAGCTTGGGGGGAGGGGAGAAGAAACTGTCCCTAAATGCAACATCCCCAGCTGCCCCCCTCCCCCACCCCAGCACCTGCCATGACCCCTGGGCAGACACCACCACAGACCACATCCTCCTGCGGTGGCTGCGGTCGGAAATCCGAGTCTGGCTGGACCCTGGGGACCCTCGAGGGATGGCCTGGGCTTTCCCAGCGGGTATCGCTGCAGCTCTGTCCCACCCAGGCCTGCTCCCCGCCCCCTCCCTAGTCTCCTGCTCATCCTCCATCCCACAGGCCCCACAGACCCTGCCTGAGGCGGTGGGCTCCTCTCCCCAGCCCGGGTCTCCCCAACTCTCTGCTCCCCTCCATTCCCAAACTCTAGCCACTGGTCCCTCTCATCTCACCTTGAGAATGTCATTGTCTTTCCCTTGGGGGTCGGGGAGAGGGTCTGGGGCAGAGGGTGTCACGGGATCCATCTAGGGATATGACAACGGTTCTGAAATCTCTGAGTCCCTCTGAGGGGTCCCCAGGAGGCGACAGAGAAGATGCTGGCTCCTCGGGAGACCTGGGAGTGCAGCCCCCTCCAGCAAATGGGGGGAGAATACCGCTGGTTCCCTAGAGAACAGGGACTCACCCACCTGGTGGGGGTCCTCCAGCTTCTGCTGATGAGAAACAGGCACAGAGAGGGCGAGTTTCTTCCCGAAGACACACAGCCACCTGGTGTGAAGACCATGTTCTGGGGCCAGCGAGACCTGGGAGGATGCACCTTTTTTGGACGTGGGGTGGGGCCAGCCTGGAACTGGGGGCTTTGGGAAATGTCAGTGCTTGAACCTCTAACTCTCCAGGTCCAGCTGCCCGAAGTGCAGCCGGGAAGGAGAGATTCCAGGAGGGGGCAGCAGAGACCAGCTGTAGAGGGAGGCAAGGCCCCAGAAAGGGCTGGAGCTCCAAGGGGAAGGCAGGCAGGAGAGCAGGGGAGGCGCCCCTGGAGGGGTGGGGGGAGGGATGGGGATGCAGGACCCCGGCACCCACCTCACCCCTAGAACTGGGAACGGGTGTTGGGAGAGGCAAGTGAGGCGAGTGGTGCCGGTTTAGGAAGGATCCTGATTTTCCTTCACGTTTGGATGTTTATTCATCATGGAATATATATTTAAAAATATATTTTTATTGATTTCAGAGAGGGCACATGCCCTGATCTGGAACTGAATGCAGGACCCTTCAGTCCGCAGGCTGACTCTCTATCCACTGAGCCAAGTCGGCCAGGGCTCATGGAATATCTATTGTATTAATTTCAATTTCAAAAAATATCGCATTAAATATGACTGGGCACTCTCCTTCCACCTCCTGGAACTTCTCACGGCTTCTGAGAGGAGAGAGGGAGGAGCAGAAGCTGGAGAGGCGCTGAGACGATCCCGGGGCTCAGCGAGCGGGTGGGGGCACCTCTGGAGCCCCCAGTGCTGACAACAGTCTCCAAACTCAGACTCGACCCCACCTGACACTTCTCAGCCCGAGACAGAGGCTCGAGGGCTCAGAGAAGCTGCTGAGTCCCCCAGCCCTGGGGAGGGGCGCCCAGGAGGACTCCTGACCCTGGGGCCTGACCTACAGCTGCTCAGACAGTGGGTGAGCGTGGGCACCAGGCCCGGCGGGCAGGTTTCTGTCCCACTTCCCCATCCGCCTGTGTCACTGTGAGCTTTAGCACTGTTGTCCCACACTTGACAGTAATAGTCGGCCTCGTCCTGGGCCTGGGCCCCGCTGATGGTCAGGGTGGCCGTGTTCCCCGAGTTGGTGCCTGAGAATCGGTCAGGGATCCCTGAGGGCCGGTTGTTATCATTATAAATGACCAGCACGGGGGCCTGGCCGGGCTTCTGCTGGTACCAGTGGACAATTTTACTTCCAATGCTGTTTCCCCCACACGTGAGCCTGGCCGTCTGTCCCGGGCTCACCGACACCGAGGGCGGCTGCGTCAGCTCATAGGAGGCCACAGAGGCTGCAGGAGGAAGAGGAGGCAGGAGGGTGAGAGCCCCTTCCCAGGCACCCCCGTCCAGCCCCGCCCGCCTGAGCTCCAGGGGTTCCCAGGCCTCAGGCGCCCTCTCACCCCCTCAGCCCAGGTGGCCTGGGGCTCCCGGGGATGGAGCCTCTGAGCACTGAGCCCCCCTTTGTGCTGCAGGGGAGCCCTCAGGCCCTCAGAGCCATGAGCACAGGGGGTGCCGCCCCCAGCCCTGAGCCTGCAGCAGGGCTTGAGCCTCCTGCCCCACAGGCAGCGCCCCTGAGCTCAGAGGCAGCCAGGCGGGTGCAGGCCCTGGGGCTGGGAGGGTGTGAGCCGGGCAGCACCTGTGCAGTGAGCCAGGAGGCCGAGGAGGAGAGGGGTCCAGGCCATGGTGGGCGCCCTGACTCTGCTCCCTGAGGCCCAGGCTGCAGGGCTCCTCCCAGGCCTCTCTTATCCCCTTGGACACAGCTGCGGGGCATGCAAATCAGCCAGGCCCAGGGGCTGCTGGGAGCTGGTGGCTTCTGAGAAGGGCTCAGCCCAGGGACTCATGGAGGAAGGGGCAGCCCCTGCAGATCCCACCCTGCCGGTCCCATGGTCTGGGGTGACATCTGCCACAGCAGAGCTCAGATGGGAGGTGGGGGGAGGGTGCCTGTATTGGCTGAAGGAATTCTACAGGTGACATCACGCGCTTAGGGGCGAGGTCCTGCTTTACCTCAGGGCCTGGGCCTCAGAGACCGAATAACATTGATCCTTTGTCAACAACACATGGAGTTTTCTTTATTTAAATCTGTTTTTATTGATTTCAGAGAGAGGAAGGGAGAGGCACAGAGAGAGAGAACCATCAATGATGAAAGGGAACATAGACCGGCTGCCTCCTGCACGCCCCCTACTGGGCATCTAGCCCCCAACCGGTCCCAGTGCACTGATAGGAACTGGACCGTGGCCTCCTGGTCGACAGGTCACAGCTCCATGCGCAGCCACTGGCCACATGGAGCTCTTGAAAGCACTCCTGGTGCGGTCAGTGTCCGCCCTGGGCTGTGGGTCATCAGGCAGATCCCAGGTGCGGTGCCTCAGTCTCCCCATTGTGCAGTCGGGCCCGGGACAGGGCAGGTGCTAAAAGGAAGCTTTGAGGTGAGGGAATGAGAGCCAGCTGCCAAGCGGAGTAAGTCTTTATGCAGTGGTTCTCAACCTTCTGGCCCTTTAAATACAGTTTCTCATGTTGTGACCCAACCATAAAATTATTTTCGTTGCTACTTCATAACTGTCATGTTGCTACTGTGATGAATCGTCATGTAAATATCTGATATGCAGGATGGTCTCAGGCGACCCCTGTGAAAGGGTCGTTCGACCGCCAAAGGGGTCTCGACCCACAGGTTGAGAACCGCTGCTTTAAGGGAATGCGTCTCACCAATAACTTGTCCCGCTGGGGGTTATATTCAGAAATCAAATAACCTAATCTAAGAAATGAGGTCAGGACCAGTTCACTGAGCACCAGCGAGTTTCAGGCCCTGGGACAGGAAGCCCAGGACTTCCCAGCCACGGGCCCAGGAATGGGCGCATCAGTGTCAAGGGTGATACTGTGTAAACCTGTCCTTTAGGTTTGAGGTTAAGGTTACGTACCCTCTGGCCCAGGCCCATCTTAAGGCCCCTGACGCCAGGCCCACCCCATCTGCAGGTGACTTTGCCAGGTGACTCTCTTGCGCCCCCTGGTGGCGGCTCCGCCCTGGCTGTGGAGGTGCAGGGCTGACCTCTGCCCAGGGGTAGATAGATGCACAACCCACTGCTCAGGTGGAGACTCCCTGGTCCCTGGGCTGCTGGCCACAGGGGAGGGGGACGGGCTCCTCTCTGTGTGACCCCTGACCTCCTCCACCAGGCAGGGAGGCTCAGGTCACCCACTAAACGGTGAAAACAAAGGGAGCACAGCCAGTGGCCTCAGGGAAGGAGGGGAGCCTGGGGGGGTGGCTGGGGGGGAAGGAGCTGGGTCAGGCCTGCCCTGCAGGAGAGTCAGGTGTGATCCAGGACAGTGAGCAGGGGCCAGGGGGGCTCTGGGCTGCAGGCCTGTTCCCGGCTGAGGTGTGGAAAGCGGGGTGGAGTGGGGGTCGCTGGGTGATGAGGAGGGTTTCCAGGTAACCAGTCGGGAGGTCTGGGAGCAGCTGGGCACATCCACTGCCCAAGTGACCCCAGGAAGGCTCGCTGGGCAGGGACAGGTGAGAAGCAGGGGGCTCAGACACACCTCCGGCCGCTCCCTGCTCACTGGGGTGGGGGGGGGGGGCAGGAGGGGGGGCTGAAGACGCTCAGGGAGGCGGTTGCTAATCTCCCCAGCTTCCTGCGCTCCACGCAGCCCTGTGGGGACTCCAGCTGCTGCGCGCGCCTCTGGTCCTGAACCGGCTCCCGAGGGCCCCTGTGCGGGACCCACCCCACATTCCTGCAGGTCCCCCGCCTGGCTGGCCTGGCCCCACCACAGAGGTGGGGGGAGCACTTGGCCCAGAAAGGAGGGCCTCGAGGGGAGTGCTGTTCACCGCGGGGGAGGGGAGCGGAGGACAGGGCCTGGGTGGTCTTGGGTTCCATAGATGACCAAATGGCAAAATGTTAGTGACAGGGATAGAAACAGAATCCTGGAGACCAGCTAGAATTGTGAGAAATAGGAATCCTGCCCTGTTCACCGTGACTGCCTTGTTCTGATTAAAGGGGGCACCTTCTCACCTGGCTGGGAGTTGCACCTGGGACCTGGGAGCTCACCTGGGAATGTGACCCGTTCTCCCCACCAGGGAGCTGCCTGTGACCATGGGAAGATGACCAGCCTGGTTGCAGAACCCAGAGCCGCCAGCCCTTTGCACACCCACAGGCCTTTGTGAATCTCCAGCCCCATTACCTGTGAACTGCCATTTGGCACACCCATTGCCTACGTCCCTGTAATCCTTGTCCTTCTCCCCAATACAAGCAGCCGGTTACGAGGAGTGGGGGGCAGAGCAGATTTCTGTGGGTGACCCGCTGCTCCCCCAGGCTGCGGCAGGAAGGGAATAAACGCTCACATGATTCCTCCCTGTCTCTGCTGAATTGGCTCCAGGAGGGACAGGCAGCGCAGGCCCATGGCTTGTGGGGTTACTCTGCCCGGAGACAGTCCCCAGGCGGGACCAGCAGTGGTGTCTGCACTTCCTCCCTCATCATGTGAAACCTCAGGACAGGAAGAAACCCAGGCAGCAGGGACCGGGTCTCGGGGCCTCTGGGGGGTCCCCACAGCCAATGAAATGTGGGGGTGTCTCATCCAAGATCCCCGACGGCACAACCCCTGGGCCTCCACCCGCTGCTTCTACCCAAGAGGAAGGGGCTTTGCCAGGGCTGCTGGGCCACCTCTCTCCTCGCTCACAGACAGCTGATGCCATGAGGGACGGTGGAGGAGTTTCTAAAGCTGTTGTGTCTATAAGGCGGCCAATAGCCCTGCTCAGAGCAGCTCATCATCCACCATTTCCATCAACAGGAACAGAGGCCCTGAGAGGACAGAGGGCCTGCTGAGTCCCCCAGCGCTGCAGGCGCCGGGCCAGGCTGGGGAGGACTCCTGACCCTGAGGCCTGACCTACAGCTGATCAGACAGCGGGTGAGCGTGGGCACCAGGCCCGGCGGGCAGGTTTCTGTCCCCCTTCCCCACCCGCCTGAGTCACTGTGAGTCACTGCCAGGTGCTCCCACTGCCATCAGCTACAGCACAGTAATAGTCCGCCTCGTCCTGGGCCTGGACCTCGCTGATGGTCAGGGTGGCCGTGTTCCCCGAGTTGGTGCCAGAGAATCGGTCCGGGATCCCTGAGGGCCGGTTGTTATCTCTATAGATGACCAGCACGGGGGCCTGGCCGGGCTTCTGCTGGTACCAGTGGACACTTTTACTTCCAATGCTGTTTCCCCCACACGTGAGCCTGGCCGTCTGTCCCGGGCTCACCGACACCGAGGGCGGCTGCGTCAGCTCATAGGAGGCCACAGAGGCTGCAGGAGGAAGAGGAGGCAGGAGGGTGAGAGCCCCTTCCCAGGCACCCCCGCTGGCACCACCCACCTGAGCTCCAGGGGTTCCCAGGCCCCAGGCGCCCTCTCATCCCCCTCAGCCCAGGTGGCCTGGGGCTCCCCGGGATGGAGCCTCTGAGCAGTGAGCCCCCCCTTCCTGCTGCAGGGGAGCCCTCAGGCCCTCAGAGCCATGAGCACAGGGGGTGCCGCCCCCAGCACTGAGCCTGCAGCAGGGCCTGAGCCTCCTGCCCCACAGGCAGCGCCCCTGAGCTCAGAGGCAGCCAGGCGGGTGCAGGGC